CACACAAGTAGTTTAAATAATTATTTATTATGTGAATCAAACAGGCAGTAAAACTACAGAGCCCCATATATACAGTATTTTATTTTTGTTTAAAGTATTATTATATGTGCATCAAATAGACACACAGACACACACACACACACATATATATATATATATATATATATATATACACACACACATTAAAAACAAGATCTGCAGATTCATGGCCAGAAAAGTGAACTGTGCATAAATCTATTATACTGTACTGACATTTCTTTACCTGCTCTTTTTGAAGCTGCCTGTGCAAGTGATGCTACTGATCCCTGAAACCTATTTAGTAGGCCTGTCCTGAACAGACCTTTAGCACAAGTACTTCATTGTGCCAATGAAACCTTAAATATAGCTCTAAATCCTAAAAGCACAATTTAATAGTGCTTTTATGACAGCATAGGGAGTGGATCCTTATTTTTATAGTCAACAGTCTTTTGACGAAGTGCCTTTTTCCACATATATTCCAGATTTAAGTTCAAATGTTACAGGTGGGCAGACTTCTTACTTTCTCTTCATCTTTAAGTTATAAAAATTAACAGAAGTTCGCACTGCCATTTGAACTGATAAGCAAGTCTGAATATAACCATTAAAATTGTCTAAATCTATAAAAAAAGACAATTTGATTCATACTCAAGTCTTTTCAATGATGTTAAACATTTTTGACATTGATAATCTTGCATAATCTTTGTTAAAAAAATTAATGTATCTAACATGTTTTCTGATCATGTCTTTGAATTAGAGATTATTTATTTTTATGTTTTTTACAGGCAAATAAGTAAATAATGTAGAAATAGTGTAAAAGGCATATTTATCAACTGGGTTTAATTTCTGCGGTTTTCATATTGTCTATTCAATGCCCCAGTGGAGTTTATTATCAGTGTAAACAATGTAAATGATCATAAGGGCACACAGAGGACACATTTACTGATTGCTGAATGTCTTTGTCTTTTACAACTCTAATCTAATGATGAGCACTGGAAAGGAGAGTAACACGGAGTAAAAAGGAGAGAAGGCTTCTAGTTTGTTGCCCTAAAGTCTGACCCAGAACTGAGGATGGGGCGTGGCCTTTTTGAAGGTTAAAAGCTTGTCTCATTTGTGTACTCAGAAACCCTGAGGCACTTCCACACTAAACTAACCAATCACAGAACACAAGACACACCTGCTCTTAGAAGAAGGCCAGGGATTGGTCCCAGCATAAAAATGACACCTGGGCAGTGCTCCAAGGTGTACCTGAAAACCTAGATGTTTTGTAGGAATAGTTTCTTCGCTTCAGGAGCTTTTGGAGATTGTGTTTCTTCTCGTGCTTGAGATTCCATTACTACTGTCTATGCATCTTCATCAGGTACCTTCAGACTGGTTCGAGAGGTCTGGCCTAACATGGAAGGAGCAATCATACCTTTAACAAGTGGAAGGACCAGGAAGTGATCTTCCTCAGCTAAAGCGACGCTGCGACACAATGGCATCTCTTGTCCATGTCTCCATACTGAATGACGGCAACAGGAATTCATGGGGTAACTAATAGTTGTTGTTTTTTAATACGTTCAACAATTTGACTAAATAATTAATTAATTGCAAAAAAAAAGTCTTTTGTATTTTCATGTATTTCAGTTAATATATACATTAGTATATTTTACTAATAGTAAATGCAAACTATCAAAAAATACAATGAGGTGGAAACCAATATAAATTATATTTCAGATAAACACAAATCTTCCTTACGTTCTTTAATGTAAAAATCAAGTATTAATTTCAGGATGAAATATGAATCATTAAGATTTGTGAAACATAAAAGACTATGAGTGCCCAGCATGTTAACTTTCACTTCCGTAATGTGTCAAACCTGTTTGATCAGTTTAAAACAAAGGGGTATGAAGTAGAATATGTAAAGCATTAAAAGAAATGATGTTAAATAATGAAACTAACATTTTTAATGTTATAATATTGAGGTGTATTGTACAAATTAAACCTGAATTAGACTTGCATGTGAGAAATTGTTGAAAGACTTTTAAAATTGATTGACACATGGACCCACGCTCTGATACAATCTCATACATACCATTTTTCCTGTATTAAAATTAAATATTTTTCCTATTCTAATAAAAAGGTACAAGGAAGAGAAAATATGGCCTGATAAAATTGATATCTTTAATGTTACTGTGAGCTTTGACATTAAATAACAATAGAGCCAAAATGTAAAAACTCACTTAGCTTGGTTTCAGAAGTAAGCGAATTATCTAATCGAATCTTATCTAATCTATTGTACAGGTGAGGGGTCAGTCAGGTGCACACTCGGGTATAGGTGACAAAGATCAGCCATTTTGATTAGCATGACTAAGCGCTTTCCTTACCACCTATGTTGTGTGGCTGTAATGGGATTTGGAGGCTGTAGACGCAATTTTGTTTTGATGAAGGTGCGACCAATTAGTCAAACTCTCCCAGGTTATGGAGACGCCTCAAAGGTCATGGTTTCCAAGGAGGCAGACCAGGGCATACACCTAAGAAATAAACTTCTGGTGTTACAATGTTTTCGTTCTTTCTAATAATAGTTGTGAAGAAAATGCGTAAGTGCATAGTGAAACTGGAAGTGGTCCAGTCTGAATGAACATGTACGGTAATATGCTTACATCAAAAGCCTTTGGGGTCTGTTGCAAGATAAGCAGCATGTAAAGGAAATATATAAAGCTATAAATGAAGATGGGCCAGTCAGGAAAATAGATAATCATTAACAAACACCTTATAATGTCTTACTAAATTACAGTAACTCTCATTTTACAGTGACAGAGAAAAGCATAGAGCCCTTGGCTCCCCTCATGTTTCATGCTGAACTGAAAACAATTAGATGGAACAAAAATGGCAAACACTGGATGCCAATCTCCATCTTACAAGGCAGTTTTGGATGTTATATCTTCTCTAATACTGCCTGGTAATGATGCAGATGGTCCTCCACGGGCATCATTAAAAATACTTTGCATGTGGGTGTGGACATGCAGACTATGCAAATACAAGCACATACAAATACACAAAGGAAAATATGTTGTGGAGTGATGCCCATTCCTTGGCTGGATAATTTGAATATTATGATGCAGAAGAAGTTCGTTCATTGTCTCTAGGGTACATCTTACCCGGCAGTGCTTGGCTGTTCACTGATGTTCTAACACTGTCTGGTAACGATGCACTCTGGGGGCTCAGTGACCATGACTTTAATAGAAAATGAACATGAAATGCTTACAAAAATAAAATGTGATCAAGTATGGAATGTAGCATATTTTGACTTTAGAATGTGTTTAAATGCTCTTTAATAAATCAAGTTAATGACTTAAAGCAGGAAGACTGGATGAGACTGCTTGATTATAATAAAAGGAAATATAATTAAAAGAAGCCATCAGTAAAGTTCTGAACCCCACCCTGTTACGTCAATATACCTTCATGAATGTCACAAAAGTAATTCCTCCATACTCACACACCCTCTAATGTGTAATGTGCCATTCAACGATGAGTTCATCCTCCTTTTCCTGCATCTTATTGTGTGCATGACACCTGAGATCTGTGTGACAAGCACTAATTGAAGTGCACAGTTCACCTTTCCTGTTCGCCGTGCCGAAGAGGATGTAATGCCAGTCAGTAAAATTTGAAAAATGATTAAGGTTGATTTTTTGTGTGCGTGTTACTGATTTGAAACCCATTTTACTTATTTTCCAGGTATTCTACGATGGAATGTGCAAAGAAAAGCCCAAATGTTTTATGTGATTTAAACAAGTAAATAATAAAGGGGAGATATAAATAAAACAGACTGATGGGACAACTTGTATGACAAATCTATGGAAAATAAAAAAAGATAAATTTATATGGAAAATATATCTGCAGGCATGACTCAGTAAATCATTTGGTTGTATTCTGAATGGGAAGAAGGAAATAATGCATTTTCTATTAATTTAGTAATTTCAGGGGCATGTTTACCCAGAAATGAAAATTCTGTCATCTTTTACTCGCCTTCATGTCGTTCCAAACCTGTATGAGACACGCGATCACAGAAAGAAGATATTTTGAAGAATATTGCAGCTGTTTTTGTCCATATAAAACATAAACTGACAAAAGTTGTCTCAAAAATCCATTTGGATGTTGATGCTTGGTTCTGACAGTGACTCTTTGAACCTCTGCTTGCACTTTATCCTTTACTAATAGACCCTTTAAACAGTTTCCTTCAAGATCTTTCTCCTGAAAAAATAACCACTTTAATTCTGTCATTCTGCTTTCATCTCTTCTACAGTCACATGACATCAGACCATTTCCTCTGCAGTAAAATCCTCTGATTTGTGTCTTACCAGGCAAGTTTAGATGTTGATACTCTGTCTAATACTGACTGGTAATGCCATCAATCACAAGGAATTGGATCACCATTTTTTTTCCTTTTCCCTCCATAACTGCACTGCCACAATGGAACAGTTTTTTTTTTCATTTATTTACTTTTAAAAAAATTATTTATTATTATTTACTTTCATTAAAAAAATATGGTTCTGACTCTTCCTTGTCATATTGTTTAACTTATTTTGTTTAAATGCACACTACATGTACATTTATTCTGTATTTAGGTCAATAAACACAATGAAACTGAATTCCAATCAAATATGTATGTGACTTTTTGTGTTAATTTGTAGATGAAGGTCCATTAACTAATTAACTATTCATTTATTTATTTGGTTGCTGGATAATGATTTTTAGACATACTTGAAATTATATAATTCAATCTGTATGCCAGATACAATTTTTTTTTAAATAACAGATTTAAACCATTTAAATGTAATTAATATATATATATATATGTATATATATATATTGTGATCAGACAATATCTGTCAGGCAACGTTTACTTTCCACAAAAACTTGCAGAGCAATAGGTAGCCACACATTTAGGACTGCTTTTATTATTCTATATATATTGCGAGATCAAATGTATGTGGATGTATAAACTCAAGACAGCATGACTTAATCATCAAATGTGCTTTTTGTGGGGTAATAGAAACTGTTGAACATGTAATATTAAAAATGTCGGAAATATAATATAGAGAGAATTAAAATGATAAAGAACTTAAAAGGTAATAATAAAGAAAAAAAAAAGAAGATAAATTGGAAATTAGGAAAAGGATTAAAAGGTATTAATCAAAGAATAGTAGTGAAACATATAGTAGAAACCGGATTAAACGAATTTCATAGTTAATGAATTAAATAAAGCAAAGGAATAGGGGAACACACAAACTGGGTTTTTTTGGCATGGGAGCTGAATTCCGCTACGGTGCGGAATACGCCCAAAATTCCGAAGAAGAAGACTTGATCATCCAGTCCACTAGATGGCAGCACTTACAACATGTGGCCTTGACGGTTTACAATAACGAATAAACCGAACTGGGCTACTACTTCCTTATCACGCTTTACGACATAATTTAAAAATAAAAAATACTTTCTATCAAAAACATATTTGTTGACCAAAAGACATGTCTGGAATTCCGCCGGATTCTTGGCAACCCCCCACAGTATCGCTGGACACAACGTAAGCCGCAATATAGACATTAGTAATAGATTTGTGAATGAATGAGCCACGTCTTGATAACACATATAAAAAGCTGTGATAATTGCTTTAATTGTTTCATTATTTATAGATGTAGAAAACGCAAAGCTTTGCCGCATGTTTGTATTAAAAAAGTTAAAGATCTAATCACGCTGATCAGTTGTACTGGTTAGAATAGATTGTTTGTGATTCTCGACTCATTCGGTTCTTTCGAACCGTTTCAAAAATCACTCGTTCACTCATTATTTTACGTTGTAACGTAATTACGTCGTCCCATTTTTATTTTATTATATATATGAAACGATTGTAAAATTAAGTTTATTTTAACTGTTAAGTCTCTGAAAGTTGTTGCATGCCCTTATATACAGAAGCAAGATTATGGAGTGTGTTGGTAATTTCTACCTGCATGGCAAATAGGCTACTACGTTCACAAACCAAAATTTGCAAAATGTATACCAAAATGTTACTTACTTTTACTAGAAATTGAGTCACTGAAAGAGTCCTTAATGCTTATTTAAAGCATTAAGCATTTTTCTTTCCAGAATGGTAATATTTTAAAGTAATCTTTCATTTTTACTTTTATCAGCCGCCTGTTTCAATCTGTTGTAACTTATACTGATTCCTTTAAAAAAAATGCAGCTACTTGAGGAAAAACCAACTCTTTCTCACACGAATCTGACACTAGTAGACATTAACCTTTACCAGCATGCATATTACGACCAACCATCACTTTACACTGTCTTTCCAGGATGGGAACTATCGTGCTAGAACTGTACTGGAATCATGCGCCAGAAACATGCAAGAATTTTGCAGAGTTGGGCAGAAGAGGATATTACAACAACACCAAGTTCCACCGCATCATCAAAGACTTCATGGTTCAAGGAGGCGATCCAACAGGGACAGGTGAGGATGAAAACAAAACTCATTCAACAGTCCTTTTAGATATTTCATTTGACAATTCCATAAGATGCATCCCAGTACGCTGATTTAAGCGGCTGGTAACACTCCAAAGAGAAAGGAAAAATTAAAATCGCATCATATGACCCCTTTAAAGAAATCAAATTCTACATACATGGAGGATGAAATAAAGGTGGTGAATATGTTTTACCAAGCAAAACCATCTACTTTTGTCTTCAGTGCAATGGACTTTATTTTTAATTTACTGTAATGGTTTGTTTAGTTTGTACAATTTATTTATATAAAAATGTATTTTATATTTGCAGGTCGTGGTGGTGCATCTATATATGGCAAGCAGTTTGAAGACGAATTGCATCCAGAGTTAAAATTTACAGGTGAGTAATATAATGCATGAGTAGATTTAATAGTATTTTAAATAGCACTGCTATTTACAAAACTATAAAAAGTTTGTAAGCTGCTCAATAGATCCCATGGAGAATAAGTAGAATAAATTGCTAGGGAAATATTTTGTCAGTTCCCAAAGCTACAGCATAATTTTATAAAAAAAAAATCCATAATAACTAGGTTACAGCTTAATTTTTTATATTACAAATCAGCAAGTGCTTGATTTATTTATATATTTTGTAGGTGCTGGAATTCTCGCAATGGCTAATGCAGGGCCAGATACAAACGGAAGCCAGTATTTCCTCACGCTGGCTCCCACACAGTGGCTGGATGGGAAACACACTATATTTGGACGGGTCTGCCAGGGCATTGGAGTTCTTAATCGTATTGGCATGGTTGAAACCAACAGTCAGGACCGCCCTATGGATGACATAAAAATTCTCAGAGTGAATCTACCTAACTAAGACGTATGCTTGCATAACGTTTTATGCCTTATTTTTGTACAGTCCTTTTATTACATTAAACTTTCAGAGTTTTCATAAAATATACTCTCTGCTCTCTTGATTCTCCTGTACAAACCCATGGCTACATGGTGGTGTCTTAACAGTACGAGTTTGGGTTCATTATAGAAACATGTCTTTTTAATGTTTACATTCCTTTACATTACACCAAATGACACAGAAAGGTTATGAATTATTTGGCAACCAGCTTGAATGTAATTGGAGATGACAATCATGATTTGTTGAACACAGTCACACTGCATTAGTTGCTTATAGATTTGAAATGCTTTCTTTGGAACAGAATTAGAGAACTTTATTATACAATTTCTCTTATCTCAAATATAGAAATAAAGCGTACTCATGGCACAGCACAAGGTCACCCACAGAATATGCAGTCATAAATCATTGTGACTTTTCTAACTCCTGGCAGTGATGCTAATTATTAAATATTCAATATTTAAAACTATATTGAATATATGTTAGGCAAAGAACTTTAAAAAGGGTTAAACACAAATAGCACACACAATGTGGACTTTTTTGGCAGAACAACATCAGTTTGAACTAATATCACCATAATCCTGGTTTTCTGGACAGATGTTTCATGATCCAAGACTTCAAAAGATTTTTATGGAAGCCCACATTTCAGAGTGCAGCTATCCTGGATTAAGCTTAATCTGTGTCTATGGAAAAAAAGTAAACAAAGCCATAGAGGTTATGACCCACAAAATCCTATTATTGTTGGAGCCTAAAAATGGGTGTTTGTATTCTATGAAGTTAGTAAAAAGATCTTATCGAGAAGTAGAATTAATGTTAACATTTTATCATCTGGGAGATTGGGAAAATTACCAGACAGAAAGAAAAATAATTTCTCTCTTCAGTCTGTTCATCGTCTCTGTAAAATATATGAAACACTCTTCTTTATAAATAAAGATATGTATGATTTGTAGACTAATCTGACGGATGTTAAAAAGATTCTGCTACACATTCTGTTAATACATAATACATTTATTTTTTTACAATTAAACTGTTTCTGTTTTATATGTATAATAAATCTAAAAAGATACTAGAATATGAGTTTTTAAAAAATTACTGTAAAGACTACATACTACGAAACATGCAACTAGAAAAATACATTTATCTCCCTGTCCGTGACTTGTATTTTCCAAAAACTTGGTGCTGATTAAGCACATTTTACATAATGTCCTCAAGGTATGTGAAACACTGAATATCCCCGAAATAAATATCAATAAAGCTCTTACCAGGGATCACATTAAACAATGCCTGACTGCTCAATTTATCTCATAGCAGGTTAACTTGAATGAGAAAATCTCTAATAAGCTGTCCCCTGAGAACACCCAACTGTCAAAACGCATGACAGCTTTGTTTGTTTTGTGTTTGTATAGTAAAAGTATCTGCATCTGTAAAGGCGAGATTTAGTTTTTGCTGTGAGACAAATAATCATTGCTTTTTTAAAAGTATTTTGTCAAAACTTGGGCTCACAAACAGCACTAATAGATTACGGTCCATAAAAGTTTTAATATAAAACAAGGTACTATTAGCTTATTTTATGCAGAAGAAAGGATATATGCAGTTGTGTCCTCTGATACCTTACGCTAATGTTTTGCCTTTTTAATATATTAAAGGGGTCATATGATGTTGCGAAAAATAACATTATTTTGTGTATTTGGTGTAATGCAATGTGTTTATACGGTTTAAGGTTAAAAAAACACATTATTTTCCATAATAATGTACATTATTGTTGCTGCTCTATGCCCCGCCTTTCTGAAACGTGTCGATTTTTACAAAGCTCATCGTTCTGAAACAGCGAGTTGTGCTCTGATTGGCCAGCTATCCAGTGCGTTGTGATTGGCCGAATACCTCAAGCGTGTGACGGTAATGTTACACCCCTACAATACTGTGATGCCTTCTCCCAGCAGGACGAGACAAAACCAATAAAACTCATTACAAACGAGGCATTTGTTGCATCCAGTGGGGACAAAATTACTGATTATAATGACTTATACTGTCTTTATACGCGTTGCGTTGCATATCGCGCCGCGTAAACATAAAACTAGGGCTGCACGATAAATCGCATGCGATATTTAATGCGCATCTTGTCAGAAAGCCGGTTCTGTAATCAGCGGTAAATCTCCATCACCTGCGTGCTTTCACATTGAGCAGCATTAACTACACAGAGCCGTTGTTCACTGACGAGCTGCGCAAAACCACGTTCATATTCGCGCGATTTTTTGTGCAGCTCGTCAGTGAACAACGGCTCTGTGTAGTTAATGCTGCTCAATGTGAAAGCACGCAGGTGATGGAGATTTACCGCTGATTACAGAACCGGCTTTCTGACAA